TTTTTCGGAGATTTCATCCTGCTTTCGTGAGAGGGCAGCGTTTGGGGGGGGTGAGGCTGTCCCCTTCACCCCCCTTCAAGCCACCCGCCTGAGCAAGACACCCGCCTGCCCGCCCGGCCGCGCTCTTCCTCCTGTCCGAGGTTTTCATTGTTGTAAGCATTTCTGTTGAGGATTGGCAGCGGGGGTGGGGCTGTTTGGTTTTTATCTCCCCCCCCCCCCCCCGTCTGCTGGGTGGTTGCAGCAGGTTTTGGTCATTTCTGTCATGCTGGGAAGTTACCCACGAAGCATGTTTGTTTTGGGGGGGATCTCCACTCCGGTTGCTAAGCTTGCTTAAACCCTCTTCTTCCACCTCACCAGAGCCCCCCTTTGTCTGCAACAGTGGGGCAGGAAGACCGCTGCCGGGCCGGGGATGATGGGGATCTGCCCTCTGCGGAGTAGGGGCAGGGTTACTATGCTCCCTGTCAATCAGGTTTGATTTCCTTTCTCCCCCACCCCCTCCCTGCCTCCCCTGCTTGTAGCTGCCTCTGAGCCCCTCAGTCTTGGGATTGCCGGCATCTCTTTCTTCTGAGCCCCTCAGATTAATGTCAGAGAAACAGGCACAAGTTTCCCATTAAAAGGGTGGTAAGTGGGTGGTAGTCATCAACCTACGACCACAACTGAGCCCAAAATTTATGTTGCTAGGTGAGAAATTTGTTAAATGAGTTTTGTCCCATTTTACGATTTTTCTTGCCACAGTAATTAAATTAGTAACACTGTTGTGAATCTGGTTTCCCCATTGATTTGCTTGTCAGAAGGTTGCAAAAGGAGATCACATGACTCTGGGACACTGACTGTCATAAGTATGAATCACTTGCCAAGCATCAGAATGTAAACCACATGACCCTGGGGATGCTGCAACAGTCAGAAGTGTGAAAAATGGTCATAAGTCACTTTTTTCAGTGCCGTTGTAACTTCAAAGAGTCACTAAGCAAAGTGTTGTATCACTGTTTTCCTTTTTTGGGGGGGTCATCAATTTTTGACACCTTGCTAGGTGATTGGTGGTACTCAAATACTGCCATATCCGAAAAGTGGTACAGTGGTACAGTGAGTGAAAAGGTTGAAAAGCCCTGCACTAGGACACCTAGACCCAGTTACTACTCTTGAGCCAGCTACCACCTATTCTGCATCTATACATAATGGGCTTAACTTACAAGACAGTAGATTTCAAATGGACATCAGGAACAGTCGCATAATGGCGTTTGACCACGAAAGAGGGGCCTTGGGAAGCAGCAGCGGATTCTTCTTCATTACAGCTGTTGGGAAAGAAGCTGGATGGCTGTCATGGTTGCTATAGTGGATTTCTACACTGAGCAGAGGGTTGGACTAGATAACCTCAAGAACCCGTCCAACCTTTACATTCTGTGATTCTAGAAATGCGCCTTACTCAGAGCCCAACTCTGGTAGCATTATTGATGGAACTATGTTCCTGAGCCCATCCCCGATTTATCTCCAATTCTTAGGTCACGGTTTCTTTCTTCACTGAAATCTACAAATTTCTCAAGACACAACCGCAGCCCCTCTGCCTAAAAATAACGGTCAGTGACGGACTAATGCAGGCAGTCCTTCACTTACAGCCACAATTGGGACCAGAATTTCTGTTGCTAAACAAGGAAGTTAAATGATTTTATGACCGTTTTTCCACAATTGTTAACTGAATCACTAGTTGTTAAGTGGGTCATGTGGTCATCAAGCAAATCCAGCTTCCCCCACTAACTCTGCTTATTGGAAGCCAGCCTGGGAAGGTTGCAAAGGTTGCAGCCCCTTGATCCTGGGAGGGTTCGAACCTCCTAAATACAGGGTGGTTGCCAAGCACCCAAACTTTCATCCTGAGCTGGTGGGGGTGCTGTGCCAGTCGCAAGTGTGAGGACTTTTTTCAGGGCCGCTGAAGCTTTAGAGGATTGTTCAACGAACGGCTGCGAGGCAAGGACCACCGGCAGTGATATTATTACAGCCATTTTTACACAGAAGAAGCAACCCAAGCTTGTTTCGAATGAAGGTGAACCTACCTTGCAAGATCCCGTCTGGGTCGGTCACTGGGACTGGAGGCTTCGTCTCCCAGGCTTTCAGACTTGTGCTGGAGCCCCCCATCCTCAGGGAAGGTCTCTCTGCCGGAACGTTACATGCTCAGCACGAGTCCGGAAGCTCAGGAGACGAGGCCTCTGTGCCCGGTGACCGACCCCGATGGGACTCCAAGCTTGTTTGTCCTTGCCTCCAGACGTTGTGGGTGCTATTGGAGGCCTTTTAAAGAGACTGGACAACCATTTGTCTGAAATGGACTAGGGTCTCCTGCTTGAGCAAGGAGTTGACTAGAAGACCTCCAAGGTCCCTTCCATTATTCTATATTCATGTGCTTTCCTACCCAAAGAACAAAGAGGAAAAGGTCCACATTTGGAGGGAAGAAATAGCCAAGGAGCATGTCATCACACCAGAACTGCTTCCCTGAGGACGTGAAAGTTGGTGTTCTCACGCAGAGGAATTTCCGAGGGAGATTCCAGCTTGTGACAATGATACATTTGGCTTCCTTCATCTTTTGAGCTCAGCATCCACATCATGGAAGCTCGTCCACTGCAGGCTGGATGACTCAGTTATTGTTGCATCTTGTGGCTGAGAACAGCATCCTTAAGAATCTAATAAAGTCCCCAGCAGAATCTTGTTGACAAGGTAATAAACTTTGTATTGTGTGATACTAATGCAAAGTTTAGCAACAGTAAACAAACAATCTCATATGACACAGAGAAATCTTGAAGGCCTGCAGAAACCATTTGAGTGAAGTGAGGCTCTGGGCTGTTCAGCATGTTTACTGCAGGCCCCAAAACCTCGCAGAGGGGTTGCCTACCCGATTTGCAGCTGCTGGGGCTCTGGGAGAGGCAGTCAGCTTTACAGAAGAAGGGTGGGCAGACTGATGCCAACCTTCACCGTGTATTGATGGCTCGGCTGATTTTAACTTGGTTTGGAAGCCCAGTCACTTGCCCAGAAATAAAGGCAAAAAACCAGTCAAGCTGATAGAAGCATTTCGAGGGGAGCAATCTTACTCATTTCCCTTCTCATAGGTGGGCATTTGGGAAACGGTCATGGCCATTTTGGGAGCTCAATCATTAATACGTCCAGCCCATGGCAGCCATTTTGTGAGAGTGCCCACAAAATAGAAGATAGTTTTGCTAGCAGCAAGTGCTGCTCAGAATGGGCAATCACCTTCAGGAGCTGGGTGGGGGAGTTAAAATAAGGGCTGCTTGCGGTTGTAGCCTAACAGCTGCCAAGAGGATCTCTCTGGGTTTGATCAGCAGCAACTGCTGCTGCATCTAAGTGGCCGGTTCCTCTCTGGGGCTGCTGGAACCCTCCAGACTGCAGCCTGCAGCCTGAGCAGGACAATTCTGTGAACAGGCTACTCCAGCCTATTTTATTGGTTTCCACTGATCCTCTCAAAACACAGAGAGACGAACAAGAACCCTAAAGGCCGAAAAGGTGGTCTTTAAACAATATGGCCCCTGGCGACAAACATGTTGCTGTTCTTGCACACAACACAGAAGCCATTAAAAATGTCACTCTATTACTATCACGGATAATTTCCTTTCCTTTCATGACCATACATTATTTCTCCCCCTCCCCTGTCCATAAACACATGTATTTTCCAGAAGATAATCCATAGCTGAATAAGGCCAAAACATTTAAATAGGCCAGGGAAAGATCTAATTTTAAGTTATGAGAACTTCAACTCCCAGAATTCCCCAACCAGCAAGCTGCGCTGGGAAATGCAGGTTAAAGAATTCTGGGAATTGAAGTCCACACAGCTTAAAGTCACTAAGTTTGAGAAACACCGGTCTAGTGACTGCCTGGGTTCAAATGCTACTTCTGGCTAATTTTAATCTGGTTTATGATATTGGATAGACCCATCCCAATTTAGTGCATTCATGGTATTGTGCAGGTTAATTCAGGAAATGAGTTTCCATGTGAACGTGATCTGAGGAAGGGGAGAATAGGTAATACACTGTGTATGCTCAGATGACAACCTCCTCTAGAGATTATACTTCAGTCTGAGTTAAGACATTCAAAACAAGTTAGGAAGGAAAACCTGTAGGCTTCATGACAGTGTTTTCCTTGTGACTTAAAACGTTAAACCAAAGACTACAGGTTCTCCCCTCCTAACATTTTCCAGTATAGATTTTCAATCCTTTCCTTTTTAATTATTTTACTGGTAGTAATTCGCATAATTGCCTATGTAGACTATGAATGACATTACCTAAAAGCCGAGAGGCTGAAATGCCCACCACCTTCCTCTCCCAAGCGGACCGCGAGAAATCCCTTCTGCCCTTCAAAAGGGGCAGCAGAACCGCAGCGGCTTCGGCCCGCAGCGGGAAAGCCCACCCGGGAGGGGGAGCCTCGCCAAGGAGGGGCCGGGGGCTCCCGTCGCCGCCGAGGCGGGGCAGGAGGGCGGCTCTGCCCCGGAGGCCCCTGTCAAAGCCCCGAGCCCGCTCCCCCAAAGGCGGCAGCCGTCCTCGGCCCTCGGCCCGGCGGGAGGCCTCGATCGCTTCCCCGCCGCCCAGCCGGGAGTCCGCGGGCGCCTCGGGAGCCCCCAGAGCTGCTGGCCGCGGCTCTGGGCGGGAGCGAGATGCCGCAATCGGCGCTTCCGTCACGTCTGGCGACGGGGGGCGGCGGGCCGGGTTGGCACGGGGGGGGGCGGAGGGGCCGGGGCCGCCCAGCAGGAGCCCCCCCGAAACCTCCCGGGGTCCATCTGGTCGCTGGAGAAACGGGGGGAGGGGCCGGCCGGTTCCCCCCTTCTCCGACCAGGCACCCTCCCGGCTCCCGGGCTGGCTGCGGATGATGGGACGAGGAGGAGGAGAAGCTCAGGCGGGGAGCCCCGCGCCGCGGAAGGCGAGAGGAGCCGAGCGTCCCCGGGCTGAGGCGCCGCGCCTTTTCCGCGGGCAGCAACGGGCATCGGGGGGGGGGAGGAAGGGGGCTCTTACCCCGGCGAGGACCCTGAGGAGGGTCTGGGGCCGCTTGGCGAATTCCGCCGGCTCCACCGCCGCGCCCGCCCGCCCGGCTCCGAAGGAAGCGCCCTCCATCGTCCCGCCGCCGCCTCGAGCTGCGNGGACGGGCGGGGACGGGCGAGCTGGCGCCACCACCTGCCCGCCCGCCTGCCGCGCAGCCCGCGCTCCTGCCGCTCCTGCCGCCGCTGCCCTGGCCGCTCCGCGGCGCCCCGGCCCGAGACGTCGCCCACCCGCTCGCTCGCCCGTTCGGAGGGGCTCCCCGGACCCGTCCCTGGCGGTGGAGGGTGCCGACGTTCGCGCCGACCCGAAGGGAAGATCTGCATGGAGCCTCGGTCCTCTTTTTATTCTCGCCCAACCCGGAGAGGGAGGAAAACCGCTCTTTATCGGCCCCACGAAGCTCAGACGCCGCCAGCCTCGTTGCCCGCCCCTGTTCGACTCCCCCAGCCCATTATCTTCAGTCAGTTATGAGCTTTGTAGTCCAGCCTACCTTGGAGAGGGCTGCCGACCCCTATTGGGTTACTGTACTCTACACGTGAAACCCTCTGGGTTTGCTTGTTTGTGCTTGGCTTGCCAATTCCAGTAGTGCCAATAAAGGTTATTGTAAGCAATGGCTAAGCTAGCAAACTGCTTACTTAGCATGTTGAGAGATGCAGCTTTGATAATGGGTCGTGTTCTTTCCAAGAAAAGGTTTAATCTAGTTGGCCCAATATCTCCCTTGCAACCCGACCAGTCACAATCACCCATAAATGTAGCTTGTGTTGAGTAGCCATGCAGGTTAAGGGCATATCTATGTCCATACCTTATGCAAGGTGTTAGTATTTTAAGTGGACAGATATAATCCACTTGTAGTGCAATACAAGCCATGTATTTTGACCACAGTGACAACCTTGTGAGGTAGGCTGCCCTAAGAGCGATGAGTTGCCCAAATCCCCCCAGGGAGCTTCTGCAGCGGAGGCAGAACTGGAACCCATTTCCCCCTGCTCCTGATCCAACCCCTTCTCCGCTAGGTCCTCACACCACATCTTTGCCTGTTCCAGGCATGTGGAGATCCGTCCTGGCTCCTTCCGTTTTTTACCTTACTTGGAGAGGACAGATTTCTGGAAAGCAAAGGCTGGTGAATGGCTGTGCGAACTCAGTGAACTGGCTTTATTTCTTCTACCATTATTAAGCACACCACGGCATAGCACAATGTTCAAAGCCATTGGTTTTAACATCTGTTTCTAGAGCATGCCAAGGGCCTTCTTCACCCATAGCAAAGCACGGGAGTCTGGACAAGCCACAAAGACAGGATTGTGTCCTCAATTGTGTAATTTGCATCAGCTGCATCAAAGCTGTACAATAAGGGACAGTTAAAGCTGCTTTGGTTGCTAGATAAACGTCTTGCTTTTCTCTCAGCCAGCATCCATTTAGAATGAAAGAGTTTATGTTTATGTTTATTTAGATTTGTATACCGCCCTATCTCCCTTACGGGACTTAGGGCAGTGAACAGGCGATAATAAAAATCACAATAAATATCTATTCTAAAATCAAATTAAATAAAGGCCTGCTCTAAAATACCCCATATAAAAACCTATACTAAAACCTAATTAAGACTACGCCAGGCCGGCCGCACGAAATAGATGGGTTTTCAGGGCTCGGCGAAAAAGGCGCAGGTCCGCAACTGTACGTAGGTCGGGGGGTAGGTCATTCCAGAGGGCAGGAGCTGCCACAGAGAAGGCTCTCCCCCTGGGGGTCGCCAGCCGGCATTGTCTGGCCGACGGCACCCTAAGGAGGCCCTCTCTGTGGGAGCGGACTGGTCGAAGGGAGGGGTTTGGTAGGAGGCGGT